CCCCAACCCCCCGGCTTGTTTTGAGCTAGTAAACTGACTTTTGATTGGGATGAATTTTGAAGGACCTGAAGCTGGAACCTCTGATTGCCGAAACAAAAAAATCTGCTCATTTCTCTTTCATCCAGTTTTGCCCCTAGCAATATCCATCCAACAGACACTGTTTTTTCAGCCAGCAGTTGTAAATATTCACTTCCGTCGATAATTCTTTCTCAGCAGCACAGGCTATATGTTTTTTCTTTGGCAAAAGCGCGTGATTCCGTCTGAAATCAGCATAGAGGCTGTATATGTTCGACATATCTTGGATGTGTTCACGTATTCGTATTTGTGGATAGTCTTAGGTATCTCATACAATCATGGGCACTTTCATATTCGTATACCATTCTTGTTGTGGGGGTTAGCTAGACAGAAATCTCCATGTAAGCTTGAAACCAAGCCAAAATTTTTTGACCCCAGGATTCAAATGTAATATTCTGCTCCCAATTGTGCTGTGAATTCACAGGAGGAAGCAAGTTTTCGACTGGCAAAACTGCTTCGATTCTGGCAAACGACGCCCAGACATGGACACGAACTTAAATTAAGTTATGTGGTATGCACCTATTAGAAGCTTATGATCTTAATTTCAAAACAGGAAGAGATCCAGAATCTGTATGATAAAGTGTACTTTCCAAATTGCATTAATGCTGTGTTTTATGCCAAGTGAGAATTACCTAAGAGGAGTTGACGTATGTGTTGTGGCAAAGATTTTTTATTTTTTATTTTTTTCAGTTTTGGATCGTAAATAAAAGTTATGGGTATTTCGAAATGTGTGGATAAAAATGATATTTAATCAACTTTTATGCCAATTCTTATCTTCAAGAATTTTATGCGAATAGAATTTTAAACTTTGAATCATACACAACAAAAACTTGTATAAAATTAACAAATAGTGATTGTTAATTCCATATTATCCAACTCATTCTCATACATAATTAAGGTAAAAATTGAGAACAGAAATATTAATAAAAACAAATCAAAACTATACTAGCGATTCTTGAACTGGTAGTCCCCTCAATTTGAAGAGGGTCAGTAGTATGGAATGGCGGGTGGTGGAGGAGATGCGTAGGAGACTCCTCTTATTGGTGGTAGCGGGTTGTTTTCATGCACCGGCGGCGGAGGTGATGAATAAACGTAATGTGGTGGCGGTAGAGAGGGTGACGGAGGAGATGAATGTGCATGTGTTGGTGGTGGAGGTGCAGGTGCAGGTGAAGGTGGGTAGTGCCATTGTTGTTTTGGAGGTGGTGGTGGTTCGTTGCATATGCTGGAGGGTGGTGGTGGGGAATGAGGATGTGATGGGGAATACCCTGATGGTGATGGTGATGGAGCTGGTGGCATTGAATGCTGGTGTTCTGGCGGTGGAGGAGGGTAACCGTGATGAGTTGGCGGTGGTGGAGGTGATTTAGGTTGGTAAGTAGGAGTTGAGCTCTCAGGCGGGGGTGGAGTGTAACCATAATGTGTTGGTGGTGGTGGGGGCGGTGGAGTTGAGCTCTGAGGATGTGGAGGTGGCGGAGTAGTGGGCTCAAAGGGCACTGGTGGTGGAGGTGGAGGTGGAGGTGGAGGTGCATGCTTAGAGGGTTTCTCATGGTGAACTGGTGGAGGTGGTGGCCGTAGATGAGTCCCCGGTGACACATTGTGGGTGGGTGGCGGAGGAGATGGCGGTGCATGGAAGGACTTCGTTGGAGGTGAAGACGGTGGAGGAGGATGTGACTTAAAATTTGGTGAAGACCTTGATGTAGGTGGTGGTGGCGTATTAAACGGCTCCGGCCCATTACCTGGCTTAGGCGATGGTGGCTTTGGTGAAACTGGTGGCGCACCGCCGCCACCTCCATCACCACTGCTACCGCACTTTGACTTGCTACAATCAAATGGCTTAGCATCATCAGAAGAACACTCTTTAATGGACCTTTGATCATTCTTCCCTGAAATACAATTCTTCCGCCCATCCAACACTTTTCCTCCCCCAAATCTTGCGCATTGTGGTGCCTCTCTGGTGAAGTAATTGAACGAATACGTGAAGTTTTGCAGCCTAGGAAGCTGGCAGACGGCAGCCGGCACCTCCCCCGTGAGGCGGTTATGTGCCACGTCTAGCTGCTCGAGGCTCCTCATTCGACTAATCTCCGATGGCAAAGGACCTTGGAGGTGGTTAAAACTAACATCAAACACAGTTAGATTTCTTAGCATTCCTATCTGGGGAGGCAAGCAACCAGTTAAATTATCATTCAGCAGTATCAGCTCATTCAAAGTATTCCCCATTTTACCAATGCTGCCCGGTATACAACCTCCGAGGTTATTATTGGCCAACACTAAAACAGACACCGGCGAATTCCCGAGATTCTCCGGTATGCCAAACCGGAACCTATTATCGTTAAGGAAAATCGCGTCCAAATCCTTATCAAAAAGCCTTTTTGGGACAGGGCCCTCGAATTCATTGAACCTTAAGTCCAAGAATTTCAATGAAGGCAACGAGAGGACTACTTCAGGAAAACCCCCTACAAAGCGATTGTTACTAATATCGAGCTCAAAAAGGAGCTGCAATTTGATGAAACTCTTGGGGACTACGCCGCAGAACCGGTTAGAGTTAATGTGGAAGAGCGCAAGATCGGTTAGTAACCCGAGCTCATCCGGGAGGTACCCGGCTATGTCACCGTGGTTGAGATCAATACCAGCTACAACTTTGTACGATGCATTGCGAGTTGATGGTGCACAATACACTCCTCCGTAGGAGCAAACATTAGGGCCTTTCCAATTTGCAGTGAAGTTGAATGGATCAGAGAAAATGGCGAGTTTCCATGCTTGTAATGCAGTGTAGGCTCGTGCAAGACTAGGGTTTTCCATGCCATTTTCTGCAGCTGAAACAGCACAGATCTGAGAACCCAACAAGAAGAGAATGATGGTTGTGATGGGCAGTAAATGCCACCGTGGCGGAGACGGTTTGGGGCTGGCAGCGGCGGTGTTGGTGGGAGTCATGAGAGGAGAGGACAGTGTGGTGAGGAAAGAAAATTGTAATTTGAATACATTCAAAAGGGAGCAGAGGAGAGAGTGTTTCCAGCTGCCAATAATGTGCTTATGTCTCTCTTTCCTTCTCATGTGTACCAAAATAGGAATAAATTGCCACTAGCTACTTCGATTTATTACAGTAAAATAATGTGTTCATTATTTCATGAGTAATGTTATGTATGGTGAAAACGAGTCACCTTATGACAGTTTGTTATTTGATGTATAAGACAATAAAAAAATTATCACATTAATACATCAAATAATAAACTGTCACGTAGGATGACTATCGATAATCTTTATCATGAATATCATTATTTTTATTTAATATATTAGATTCAAGAGACAATATTTTGATAATATGCTTGCAAATATAAAATCTTGAAAATTAGAGTTGAGCTCTCCTACCTTTCAATTAGTATGTGATTTTGAGTCCCTCAATCTTTAAAAGTAATGTTTACAACCTATTCAAATATGTGAAGTTGGGACTCCACGCGATAGAAGAGGTCAATGTGAATGTTATAACTGTACTTAACTATCACATGATTTAAAATTGAAGGACAAAATCGTCAAATCGTTGAAAGTTAGATTTTAAGTCACGTAAAAGTCGTATCGGATTTAACATTCACTCGTTCACATTGACATTTTTCATCGCGTGAGGATTTATTTAAATAAATTGGGATCCGAAATTTCGGTTTTGAAGGTGAGAGGTACCGAAACACTTGTAAAAAAGAAATTGAGGAGTTCAACCTTAATTTTTATTTCCGAAATTAATTATGACATGGCAGCAATTTACTGCAGTCTTGAAAAGGGCGACGAGAGATAAAGTTGTGGCCTCAAAATTGTTAAGAGAGAGAGTTTTAATTGATGATTGATAATGAACGACATAAAGAAATGGGAGGAAAGTCTAATTATGGAATTTTCTTCTTTTTTGAATTTAAAATGTATCTTTTCCATTAACATAATCATCGCGAACCACCGACAAAATAAAGATTGAAATGTATTTGATCTAACTCAAAACAACATGGAAGTAGTAGTAAAGGACAGCTACTAAGTTACGGTACGATTCGACCATTCCTAACAAAGGAAAGACGTAATAAGGGTCTACTTTGATACTCCAAAAGTATTCTAATTTATACACAAAGGCCCTCTCTCACTAATAAAAAGGGTGAGGAAGGAGGCACATGATAGATTATCCATTTCGACTTTTTTAGATGCCTTTTGAGGTTTAATGCAGGTTCAAATTCTACTGAAAAGTCCACTAGAGATTAGAAATTGTTGAAAAAACAAGATATTTCATTTTTCCCTTTTAGACGATCGGAAAATAACGAAACGATTAGTTGCATATTTGGTGGCAATTTTTCACCACAAAAAAATAATTTTTTGACCGTTATTTCACTATTTCAGACGTTATTTTTACTTCTTCACTCACAGGTGAAACCCACTTTTCTCTCTAACGGTCAAAAAATAAATTCTCATAATCACTATCGAACAAACCCTTAATATATTCAAGATAACTACGTATTTACAAATTATTGTCTGAATTTATCCTATTTCATTATATTCAGGGTGATAGGATTTTGAAGGATGAACCGGATATGAACAATTCCAAGAAGATTTCATGCATATGGTTATACGTGCAGACCAAGAATGTGAATTGTTTTGTTCTTATTTCTTAGTATAAAGCAAACATCCTTGAGAGGAGCTTATGCAACAGAGCATTTGGCACAAGTACATAAGTCGACTTCAAACCATAAATAACTCTTAAAAGTGTCACATTTGCAGCTTCAAAATGTTTTTGCAAAGCTTGAGGTCTTACCCAAGTGCAATGGCTTCCGCTGCTGCAAAGGAAAACTGGCCAAGATCCTCTTTGAACTTGCAGATATCAGCATTATTCCCACACCAATGAACCCATAATCACTCCTTACAACTACATCGATATTAAGTTTAGACTTGTAATAACCTCAACAATAATACGAAAATGTGGAAAAGATTTTTAGTTTTTGAATATCGTAAAGAAAGAACCTCGAAAATGAAGCTCTAGCCACATATGTCTTTTTCCTGAATATTGGGTTTTCGGTTGGGCACTTTGGCTCTAGTTGAGAAGTCGACAAACTTATACCTTGTTCGGTAAAGGTTAAATTATAAATATAAATTTATCGATGAAATATAATTTTAATCTACACATTTCGTAAGATCCATGACTTAATATCCATTTATAATCAATACATTTCAATGGTATTATAACATGAGTATGGAATTCCTTTGTAAATAAGCAAACCCTTTATGATCCATTTGAAAGATCCCAAAATCATGTCAACTTAACCTAATAATTGTAATATCCTTATTTATTGTACCATTTACTTATTTTATTTTTAACATTATTTAAAAAATAAAAACAAAAATTGATTAGAGGGCAAAGACCGTATTCTCCGTCTTTACCTGATCAATTAAACATGTTGTACACTGCTAAATGACAGTAATGTTGACAACTTGCATATTTATAAAAATTTTGGTCATTGATTGAAAAATGTGATGTTAAAATTAATGTATAAAAATTTATCAACTCACACAATATCAAAAAAGATGTCAAACTTAGGGTGTGTTTGTCACCCATTATTTGCAAAAAAAGTATTATGGAATAGTGATTGATATTGAAATATATAGTTAACAAAGAAGAAAAAAATTTTGATTTACGTGTAATATTATTTTAATGAAGAAAGTGTGGTTTAAAATGAGTACTGTAAAACAAAAATGGAAGAAAATGAATGACAAACACAAGCTTAATGTATATGAAGTAGATTGCTAGCTGGTTACCCTTCGAAGTGAGGAATCCCCATCACATTCAAAACATATCAATACGAAGCGGGAGAGGGCGAGATGTACTTTGTCATCTTTCCACTCGTGTGGGCATTTGTACTGAAATGACATTTTACTTGGTTCCATTTTTTTTTTTTCAAAATTTTTTTTTAATTATATTCTCCCATTAAATTCTATTATTTTACCACATTTTTTTCAAAAAATTTACTATTTCAAAACACATTTCTTACAAAAAAAAAAAAAGAAAAAAAGAAGGGGACACAAATATGGGCTTATTATGATGAGCCGTTCATCCTACTTAGCCCCTATTTGACAATCATTAAAATGAATTTTAGAATAGTAATTTTTTTTTAAAATATATTGTTAAAAAGTATGAAAAAATTTTAAATTTACGTATAAAATGTTTTATTATAAAAATGTATTGTCGTAAATGAATTTAAAGAAAAATGTTTATTTTAATGGTTGTTCAAAAAGGACTCATGACAGTGGTAAAATATTTGGATGGCATACAGAGAGGTTGGAGTGAGTGATAATAGGGTTGATTGGGTAGATTTGAGCTGTCAATTGCTAGGACAGAGACAAGAGTCAGAAATATAAATACACGAGTCCTTTATCGTTTTGTTGGCAGAGGAAACAGGGTCCCACATTTGCACTTATTGCCCGTGACTCTCTCTCTCTCTCTCTCCAATCTCTCCCTTTTTTTTAGCCCTCAGATGATTTAAAATAAGAGGAAATTAAAATAGTCAACTTTTGGTTTCACGTTTACAAAAATGTCACTTTTTAAAAAAATTTTGTAAAATTTCTCTTTTCTCTTTTATTCTTTTCTATGTTTCCTCTCTTGATTTTTTGAAAATTAGATGGAGTGCAAGTTCTTGCATTAGGATCTCGTATATTACGTCAATACAGAAGGAAGAAGAATATCGTAGGTAAGGTTTCAAATCTATGAGTTTTTTTAGATTGATTGAAGGTTTTGTTTGAAGTTTTCTATTAATGTTCATTTTTTTTTTTTTTGTCTTTCTATTAGATTGCACAATCAATTTTTGAGTTTCCTACATCTAGACCGTGAGTTAGATTGTTCTCCATTTTGGGTTCGGCTTTGTTTAGAGTGTAAATTTACAGGTAATTTGAATTTCTCCATTTTTTTGGGCATTTTGATTTTTTCTAATTTTTTTTGGGTATTATGAATAAATTTTTTTTTATATTTTTCTAAAAAAAAATTTCACATTCTGTCAATTTTTTACTTTATATTTCTCTGAATTTGTTTGGTTTGTGAAAGATGATTGTTGTATTATACTTGTCATTCCAGCCTATCTTATTTATTATATTTTTCTAGATTAGGTATGGATATGGAATCTTTTAAACGAACTGTTTAATTTGTCATAATGAAAGTTTGTACAGTTATGAATGCTCAACACAAGAACTTCTAGAAAGATCAGTTATGTAACCCATGTGTCGCGATAAACTATCGTTCCCGACAATTAGTTACAGTCATTCTATACAGATGAGTTATCTTTCGATATAAACTGTCATTCTCGAAGTTAAAGGCAGTATTTCTGAAACATTACAGGGTGTTTTTTTTATTTCTTATACGTGTATTCAGCATTAACATCTGAAAAATTCAAAATTTTAAATACACTCGTCTCATTTTTAATATGCAAACTAGAAATATTGAATTCATGTCCATTAGTATTGTAATTATTGTTTTCAATTAGATGAAGGATGGATCAACTCGTGCTCCGATAATCATGAGGGTCTATTGTCTAGTGAGAACTAAGAGGCGAACAGTATGTGTGTTAATTAAGAGGAATTTAAATTTTTAAATACTCTAATATCATTCCGTAATTTGCAAACTAGAAATAATGAACTCATGTCGGTTAGTGTTGCAAATGTCGTTTTCAAATAAATGGAGAACCCATAGAGTTCAAAGTGTCATGTCCGAACAATGAGAAAGTTCCCTCAACTTGTAGCTTGATAGAGGCGGCCACCATACCTATCGAAAGTAACGATATTGTTAGCACAAAGAGCAATTATCAATACACATTCGATTTTATGCAGCCTCTACTAGGACTCCATATACCAAGGAGAGGAGAAAAAGAATAAAGAAATAGTGTGACCAACTTTGTTAATGCTACATTAGAATTGATTTGTGAAATAAATGACCTCATTTTGGTTACCTCCAAGAATGTGATTATAAACATGATTTAGTGGTTGCATTCACATGTGGTGACACATTTTATCATTTCTTGTTTCTCATACTCGTTGAATTGTTCAATTAGCACGAGAAAATTTTG